GCATCCCTCACTTCCCCTGGCCCTCTCGCTGTTTCTCTGGGTCCAGCTCTCCAGCAAGGAGATGTCAGTGGGTAAGCCCCTCCTCTGCTCCCCCTTCCTCCAGTCCTCTCTGGCCCTTGTCTCCATCTTAGACCCAGCAGGAACCTCCCTCTGCTGCTCCCCCTAACTTCAGCCCTCTCCAACCCTGGATCAGAGACACCAGCTGGCAAACTCCTCTTGCTCCTCTCCTACCTTCAGCCATCTCCCAGGAGCCACCTTCTGTCTCTGGCCACTCTCTTCTCCCATCTGATTCAGTTCTGGTTTGACTCCTGACTGACCTTTTATAGACCCCCCAGGTGCTGCCCCAAACTTTGAATTGGCCAAGCTGGGATCATCTGGACTGAAACAGGAGAGCTGAGCCCAGTTTCATCTAATGGGCCAGCTACTCTATTACAGTAATAATAATATTAAACTTACTTGTATAGTGCCTTCGGTATGCTAGGTTATTTGCAGTCAGCTACAGTCCCTACTCCAAAGAGCTTACAGTTTGACAAGATGACATACAACCAAAGGTAGGGTTACCATTCGTCCGGATTCCCCCGGACATGTCCGGATTTTTGAACTAAAAATAGCGTCCGGGGGGAATTTGTTAATGTCCGGACTTCCGTTCCCCCCCGCCCCCATGCAGAGCACGTGCGGCTAACAGGGCAGCCGGATGGTGCCATTTACATGGGGCTCCGACAGCTAGAGAGAGTCCCTCCTCCACTTCCCCCTCCTCCCCCTGCAGCATAGCTCACTCACTCACTCCCTGCATTCGCCTCCGGCAGTCTGGAGCTCCTCCCCCGCTGCTGCCCAGCATGCCGGGAGAACGGCTCAGACTCAGCAAGCTCCCAGAGAGACCTTAGGCGAACCGAAGGCCAACGACAAGGGAGCCAGGGGGTCGGAGAAGGGGCAGGGAGGTTCTGGAGGGGGCAGTCAAGAGACGGGGGGGGGTCAGGCATTCGGGGGGGCTTTCTGGGAGGTGTGTGGATAAGGTTTTGGGCAGTCAGGGTACGGGTAGGGGGTAGGGTCCTGGGGGGTCTTAGGAAGGGGCGAGTTA